ATCGAAGTGCTTTTTCTGGATGGGAGTTGACCCTTGAGGTCAATGAATCCATATCCCACCAGGAAAAATTTACGGCTTTGGAAATTTTCTTTAATATTCTGAATAGCTCTCATTTTTACCGGGAAATATATGAAAAATATTTATATCTGTCCATGGATTTTTTATCATCTCATGTCATATGAAGTTGGACCGTTGAAAAATTATACTTTTACAATTTTTCGTTGACGAATCATTTATTTTTTTTGAAAATTCTAGCCTTTTGCTATTGTCTGGTCTATATTACACTGGCAAACCGGAAATTTTGGAGATTCAAGCAATAATTCCCCCGAATTTTTAAACTATTGAAGATTCAATTATATTAGCTGTTGAATTTTCATGATGAGCGCGAAAATTCAAGCTTTGATTGAAATATTAATTACTATTTAATATAAAAATCTATTTTTCTGGAAGTTTGAAAATAAATGAGAAATTTAATGACCGTGTCTAATGAGTATTGAATTTAAACTCATATAATTGAAAATTCAAATGACTTTGTGACCGGAAATGAAAAAAATTTTGGTAAATACCAAATTCATATAATTCAAGTTAAATCATTTTTTATAATGAGTGCTTGCGTAGATGTACGAGACTTCTCACTCCTCTTCTAGAGGTATACATTTTTTAAAACGTTTTATTTCATTAAATTTAGTAAATTCTTGCTATTTTATAATTTAATCTAAATCATACCAGCTCTCGGTGTAACCCAGGGTTCGCGACGGGGACGCGGCTGGTATGAACCCCACAAAGGTCGACGACCTAGAGGTCGGTAAGGTAGTACTTTACAGAAATTTAAGTGTACTATTATGAACCCTTGGGAGCTGACAATGGAAAATTCACATTTTGGAAAATATATTCTTAAAACTCTTGAATTGGCTTTTATAAAAAAAAATACCCAAAATATCGATTTTCCTTGTTTTCAATATATTTTTACATATATTTTTACATAACCTATTGTTTTCTAAACTTTTGACATTTTACGTCGGTAAAAAACTCCATTTATTTATTTATTTTCTTTTTTGAGTTATGGAGCCTTTTAAATAAATAAAAAAATATTTGAAATTGTACCAATTTATGTTGAAATAGTACATAAAATATGTGTCATGTATATTTTCTGTATATTTTTTACTGAGCGAAACTGTAGCATTAATAAATGTGAAAAAAATCTCGTAAAGGTGAGCAGTGAGCGACATTTAAAATCCTCGAGTGAATAACAGCCTGTCAATGCAATTTATTTTACATTTTTACTACTGTCTCTAAGTTCATGCTTTTCTCCTTATTTATTTACTCACTTCTCTAATTCTATTCTATTATATCAGGAATTGTTCAATGACTAAAAACCCCAGATTTCGTTAATATCACCATTAAAATAACTAAAGCTCATAAAATTCATTGAAGTCATCACCAAATAACGATTTTAGAAATTCAGAAGAAACATTCCATGCAATTTAATTAACAAGCAGTTTATTTTTACGAATAATTTAATTAATAAGTGTTAATACTCATCATAAAAACAATTGATATTTTTTTTTTTAATAAAAGTTGAAATGAATGGAATGGAGAGTTTCCGTTAAGGTGTGGAATGCCGATGTAAATTCTCGATGGAAAGTGGAGAAATTTACGGTAAATCCTCAGAAAATTCTAGCATATGGATTCTTTCGAGTGAAATTTCCGAGTGTCCAATTGACCGTGATGATTGGAAAGAGGAAATGGGAAGGTCAGAAATGAAAATAGGATCTCTGAATTTTTATCACTCGATGCTTTAACGCATGAGTGGAATTGAGAGTTGCACAAGAGAAATAAATAATGGGGGAGTGAGCGGGCATTGCTCTTACGAAAATGGCGGTTTGCCTACTTCTATTTATCTCTACAGAGACTATTGTGAGCTCAGACAAAGGGCAAATGCATTTCATTTGGGGCAATTGAATTTTTTACTAGCTAAAGAAAAGATTATTCGGGATGAAACATAATCTGTAGTTTGGATTACACTTGAATTGTTGGGTTTATGTTTCGGAATATTCAGAGTGGGAAGCGGTGGCAATTTACGATAAGCTCATATAATTTTCTTGCTCAATGAGAAAAAATGTAACTGTGGATCGTAAAATTATTATGCTCTCTGAGGCGCGGAGGAATGTTTCCGGATTGCTCTCTGGAATTTTACGGAGGTGTAAATGATAGATTTAATTTTGGAACAATAAATAATTGAAGCATGAATAGTCAGGGCCCAAGTACCATCTTGAAAATTCTAAACTGGATGTTCTGTGGTACTCCAGTTAAAATCCATTGCAATTATTGAAAGCTCGGGAATAAGCTAACATAGTTGCTCCTATTCCCAACTTCTTCAGTTCCATAATATTTTCATTTTATCCTGTACCCTCGATTCAACTTCTTTGAGTCATCTCTTTATTCTTGTGGATGTTCATGTAGTTGTAGGTGCATTTCCTACTTCGCTTTTCCTTCAAGGGCAATTTATTTACAATTAAGTAAACTATTTACTCAATTCTAAGTAATAGTTTTAAGTTCATTTTAAATGGAGGGTCAATTGAAGACTTACTTCAAGAAAATGGAACTTGCATTGTGACCACAATTGTATTGATTATAAAAATTTCTACTTTCCTGATCTGATTACTCATCTCCATCAGAGAAATTCTTGTTTCCATTGCACCATCACTTTCATTATCAATTCCAGTGCACGGAAAATTGATCTCAAGTGTTGTCTTATTCGTGTGAGATATTATATAAGTCATGAAAAATTCAGTGACACAAATTGAATTTCTAGAGAGGACATAATTTTTAGTGAGTTTGTGGAGAGGATTTAGAAATTCTCGCTAAAATCTCATTCTGTTGAAATACTTTTTTCTCTCGTTGTGAAGAGTAAGTTTACAAGTAGACTTTTCAAATTGACAAGGGAATATTGTCATGCATTAAGTAAATCTTCGTTATCAATGTTTTTTTTTCTTGATGTCTGAAAGAGTGAAGAAGGTCTTGAGCCACGTGGTGTGAATACGTTATGTCTTAACCGGAATGTCAAGTGTGCGCGATAAAATACGAGAAAGTATACACAAGAGAGTGTCCAGGACAGGAGAAATGAACACACAAAAATTTAACAATGACTTTTTTTTGTGGGCGCGACTTGTGACCCCTGCAATGGCATTCTTTAAATTTTCATTCAGCCCTGCGGTTCCTTTTTCAAAAATATCTCCGATACAAAAAGAGATAACAATTACTTTATCATAACACTTTTTGTAGCCCTTGATTAGCTCTACAAAAAAGGCTCTTATCACTTTTTAATAATTTCTGCGAGTTTCGGGGGTATTTTGGAAAAAGTCGCGGATTTTTTGGAGATGGGGAGCGCAACATGAATCGATTTTTTTTAGCAAACCCTTTGTTATGAATTTTTTCTGAATAAATCTTGAAAGATACTCAGGACTCAGTACAGAGCACTCGCATGAGATTTCTTTTACGTGACCTAGGTCTTTTGTGTGGAGACAAATAGGCCAGTCGAACGAATCCACTCTCTCGCGATTTCGCTAATTTCGCTCTTTTCAAAAATTAATGAGCATTCAAGCGCCTCCACTTTCGGCTTGAATAAAGCATAATCTCTCGTTTGATTAGCCTTTATTTACATAAAAGTATGCCTAGAGAGATCGATTGGAAAGGCGAGAAAAACATACGTATTTTCGATAATGTAAAAGCTAAGGTATTTCAGTGAAATATTCAAAGTAGAAAACGTAAATTATTTACCGAGAAAAAGTTTATTTCCATAAATTCCATGTTAAAACGCAGAGCATTCTAAAAATATAGAATGTCTATATATTTAGGTTGGGCCATCGAAAAACGGTACCTCAGACTTTTCCAATCCCATAAACTTCAATAAATTATCGTTTAAATTTTACTGGTTTTCACCGCCCGCATGTTATGATTCTACACCAACGAACATTGAATTCCTTATCTGATCTCCCATTCGCAAAACTATTGACACACTTGAAAAAATAGAATCTACTGCGTTGATATTAATAATAAAACCGATTGTAACAACAAACGACAAATTAATGAAATCCAACCCATTGGAAAGATTATTTAAAAATTATTGGATCCAAGCTTGGAATCTAATTGTTAATCAACCCTTGAAGTTATCTAGATAACTTCTAGCAATTATTGATTTTGTTATTAACCAAAAAATTACTGACTTAAACCTCATTGAAGATTAATCACTTTTATGATTTTTCTGCATTGAAGTTTATCTGTGGAATATATTAAAATAAAATGCCCGTAAAATCTCCACTAATTCTTATATATGTACATTAATTTCACATAAACACGCATTCAATAATATTAAAACCTAAAAAATAGCAATAAAATCTTTTGGTTTTCGGGGATGTCCTCGGGTACAAAATTCACTCTGTCGTTTTATTTTCTCATTTAAGTAAGGATAGTTTATAGCCACATTCTTTTCGGGCTATCGCTTGGTTGTAAAATCAAGGGAAATGCCCACAGTCCTTTCTTAGTTTTTATAACATTTGGATATTTCCAAACTATATCTGGTGACCAGAATGAGTCAGAAAAAGGAAAAAGGAAATATTACTGGGGGTAGAAATTATATTGCCCTCTCCGGGGTAACTGAGTCTAACTTGTAATACCTGTTCAGTCTCTTGTAGATATTCATTCCGTGAAGTGCCTTCTGTCTGTCAAGTCTTAGAGATATTCAAAATTAAAATCATTTCTGAAAGTTAACAAATGTGTTTGCTTATTTAATACCATAATCCAATAAAATGAAAAATACAGATTATTTTTTAAACAAAAGCTTTTATTTAGCCCTTTTATAATCCATTCATTGAAAAACAAAAATAAATTGTTTTCTCAGAGCTTTGAATTTCTTATATTTCCCATGAGTTTTGGATTGTAAACGGTTTGATAGATCTCAGATGCCTAAAGGTTAACCCTCGGATGGAAATGAATTTCAGAGATGCGCAGCGAAGTGGGCGAATGGCTGGCAACTTGTGTCGGTTCACCAATTTGCATTCTCCTGTTGTCCTGGTCTTTGCTCATATACCAGAATCAGCCATCGTCCTTGAAGAGAAGGATCGACGTACTCACTGTTGCTATTATCATTGAGAGCTTAGCTCATGAGATTGGTCTACTGCTATATGCCATACTCACGCTCATAAGACCTGCCAATCACTTCGGAGGTAAATATCGTCCTGCATCCTAATTACATTCACTTAATTAATTAGTTAATTTTAATCGCTGGCTGTGTTCATGCGCGAAGTAAAAATTCAACTTTTCCCATTTTTTATATCAAAGTTTCTTGCATTATTTTCCGTATTTAAGCATTTTTAAGTATTTTTTAAAAACCGGAAGCATCGGATGTAATTCCGTTGTTTCCAGGAAGCATTCAGAAAAAATATTCTGTTAAATTGTACATTTCATCATTAATTTTATTTCAAAATACGATTTGAAATTAAAATTTTATGAATCACAAATTGTTAGCTTATATACTCAATAAATTATGCAACAAATCCAAGAATTTACGATGTGATTGGTAAAATGTCGACTTCAATTTCGATTACAATTAAATATAAAAAATGTATTGAAGAATATACGAAATTATGATCGATAGATGCGATGATATAAGCAATACATATGGATATATATATCAATGCAGATCAACAAGATTTATAACAAAAAATTGGTTTGCATATTTATTATTGAGTTGGATTATTCATGGTGGTGTAATATGATACCTTACGGTACAACATAATAGTGTAGAGGAATAAGAGAAAATATCGAGTGATAAAAAGAGAGTTTGGTAACGGAATCTAATAATGAAATTGTACTGAAATAAAAATGTTATCACCCATAGAAATATGCTCCACCCTCGTCTGGCTGCTGAACACATCCCGGATTCTTCAGGAGCTGACATTAACATCAATAGCTGTTTTCGCGGCAATCAGTAAAGATGAATTTACCGTGACGAAAAATCATATTAAGTACCACTTGGTATCTCTGACAGTAATAAGCGCCTGCATAGGCTTCACCGGAATACTAAACTTCGAGCCTGAGACCTGTGTATTTCTCGCTCAAGATGTATCTCCCAAGTATGGACTCTTCGTCAATTCTCTTCGAGCATTGCTGCTATTAGGGACCATTTGCGGTCTTTGTGGAGCAATTTTCAAGGATGCCTGCCGCAGCCCAAAGTCCGAATTGCTCCAGTCTGTATCGGATTTGTCGGAGGCTAGCTCCAAGAATTCTTCGGGTGCTTTCGAATGCCATCCACACCATTGGGATCCATCAAGTGGATCTTGCACCAGTGGATCAACGAACTCCAGGGCTTGCCTGAGAAAGAGAAGACCGAAAGTTGATGAGACAGGAAGCAGCTCCACTGTCTACAGCATTATCTTTGTTTGTTATATTTTTGATCATCTGCCGGTTTTGGTGAGTATTTTTTTTTATCAACCAAAAAACGAAATTTTTTTCGACTCGACTCAATCAACTCGCAGAAACAAATAATTCTTCTCCAATTCGAAGAATCATTTGGCTTTTCTATGTTTAATCATTATTATCAATTTAATTCTCTTAATATTCATTTTGAAATAAATTTTTTTTGGTTTGTTTATGTTATTAATAAATTATTATCTCATCCAAAGAAATTCTCTATTAATATTTAGCACAGTATTTTATAGTTTTGATTAGTTTTGTTCAGAGAATTATAAATTATTAATAAATTTTTAATCACTACTTCGTTGAAGAATTAGTTAGAAGACGGGAGTTTTTCGAATGGACGTTACAAAATCAATTCTCCGGGTTCAGTAGCACATTCTAAATCAGCTCTAGGTGAAATAGAAAGGTCCAGCTACTTTTTAAATTCATCATTATCATTGCTGCCTCTAATCCGATTAAAATTGACAGAACTATTGATTTGAAAAATGTTCATCCTTTGACTTTTCACTGACCCCTTTCCTCGCGTTAAATCTCCGATAATTTCTTTACATTTTTTAAGCCGCATGCATCCAATCGGAAGTGGAATTTCTCGAACTGTTGACTTCTAGTGAAGGAGTTAGTCTTATGAATTCGTTGTTCTCATTCTTTACGGTTTTTCGCCAATGCGGTTGAATAAGTTGGTCAGTCATGGAGATTTACGATGAATAACGATCGAGGGAGAGTGTTGCCGAGTGAAAATCCAGACCTACTTTATTTTTGTTCTCATTCGTTAATATATTCCATCGGTGAATGAAAAACACGTGTTTAATGGCACGTGCTGTTGAATTTTACAGTCAAATCCTATCGCATTTGCTAGAATATTTCTATCAACTATTCTAGTAAAGTTTGCGGCAGCTTTAGGGTTTTTTTTTCATCGAAGGTGCACCATTCATATTTATTTTGATATTAGATCCCTCGGAATTTGAAAGCTGGTGGAACAGATATCGACTTAAAAAATAAAGAATTCATGTAGAGAAATTGTGAGAGATTCAGGGAAATAAATTGTTGAGAGAAAAGGGAAAATTTATTATTTTTTTGTGGAAACTCCAAGATTTTTCCTACAATTTTTTGTTTCTCCATTAAATCGCAGACGTTCCTTATAAATAATAATAATAATAATATAAATAATGACAATAAAAGCAATAAAAAATATATATACTAACATTTTTAGGGATTCAGAAAAATAAAACACCTTGAGAAAAGAGTAAATAATTATAATGTTATGTAATAATAAAATAAAATTTGTTGCGCGAAAAATCCATTAATTAATATTTCGATTGATAATTTAATAATACAAATTAATGAAGAATTAATATAGAATTTGAAAGGATTGAGAATAATAAATGACGTTGAGGGGAAAATAAAATTCGTTAGTTTTTTAAAGTGATGAAGGAAAATTCAAACTCGTTTTGTGTAGCTGAGTCTGGGAAGTATGAGTTGAGGTGTGTCGATTCGATTTAGTGATGGTTACGAGATCAGGTCAACAGTTTCACTCGCACGATTTCGAATGGCCATTCGACGTGCGTAGAATGCACATTGAAGTGAATTAATCGATTTGTATTGGAAGGGGAAGTGCATTTATCCAACAGGTGGTATCAATATGATAAATGGTAAAAATTTTCAAAATTTTCAAAACCCATTGAATTTTCCATTAAAAAATTCTACCTTTCTCCCAATTAAATTTGATCCGGTGAATTTTTATGAATATTCGAGTATAAATATTGAGTTTCACAACAAATAATTTAATCATTGCGTAATGTATCGGGAAAATGCTGTTCAATTAACGCGACGACTTTTTATTCATTTTGAAATGACTAACTCGCGGTGTAACTTTGAATATTTTTATGGGATTGGGGATAATTGGGTAATTATAATGCGCGAGGACCAGCGACATTGACAGGTATTGAGTGCACAGGAATGAATATGAATTATCCTCAAGAAAAATGGGCGCATGCGGTGATAAGTCGACGGGTGAAACTTTCGCTGCAGCTCCCTGAAGCGCAAACAACGAATTTTATTTCAATACAACAAATCGGGGCGTAATTCTAGGGGGAATAAAAATAACTGCAGATTAATAATTGGGGAGTGAGAGATAACTATTATCGGGAAACATTCATCGAGAAATTTGTGTAATGACATACTTTCTTATTGTACATTTGTACTTTTACTGTTTACAAATTTTCCCTCAACTTTTTAGAGTCTTCTCTCTAGTCCAATTTCTTCTTTAGTTTCACGTTATATCTTTATATATTTCAATTCAATTTGCAACGGAAAATTCAACATTTTATGAAAATCAAATTGGAATTGATTTTATTTCAACAAATTTGGGGAGTTAATATTGGAAAAAAATTTGATAAATATTTAGGTGTAATTATTCTTAAAAATTTACATAAATCCGTAAACATCAGGTGATTACTTCTGTGAATTATCAATTAATCAACGACATTATGATTTTTTCCGCTGAATTGAATGATGAAAATTATTCATTGCTCAGATATCGTTTTCTAACAGTACATTATTTTGAGTGAAAAAAAATCACTCAGGATTGTGACAGTAGATTTTCAACAGAAATGGGAATAGTAAGTGTAATTATGTTACGTATTTCACATGAGGAAGTCGCACCCAAAGGTTCATCCAACCCGGCATCCGGTGTGCAGTCACTCGTTCGAAAATCCTCGTTTGACAGTTTTCTCGTTTTTGGTTGTCATTATGTGGTTGTCAACATCTCCACATCACCCGCGCCATTTTCATTCTTAATTATTGGAGTGGAATTAAATTATCTCGATTGGGTGAGGGCTAATCAATTATTATGGCGCTTATAATAAAATCCTTTGCATTCATCGATTAATATTTGATGCCTGAAAGTGTCGATAATTCAATAATAATAATTTAATAAACAACGCACTTAAACATACCAATTGTAATTGTTAGATGCCAATCAAATTACTCTACTCCCACTTTAAAAACGTAATTATAAAAATAATAAAATAATCATTAATAACGTAACGTAACGTTATTAATTACGTAATAACGTAATTTATTTCTATGAAATATCGGTAGATTTCGGCTAAACTTTATTTGAAGAAAAAAATAGGGAAAAAATGTGAATGAGGATTTTAATGAATAATATTAAGATGAAAAATTTCTGAAAATTGATGATTTAATCTTAATTATTTCTCCTTTCATCTCTACTTCAAATATCTAATTAACTACCAGCGGATTGACTTCCAGCCCAATTTAATCCCCTCGTGATTAACGAAATAATGTCTTACGTCGGTGAAGACTTTCGATTTTACTTTTGTACCTCAAGTGAAAACGAGTATGAACGGTCGCGCTTTCAGGACTTCTGTTCGTTATCCACAGACTCGAGACTTTTGTATGAGATTTGCAAAAAAAAAATACCTCTCTATGTGTGCATGAATTAATCCATCTACCACAGACACACTATCCCCTCTCGATGCATTTGTAATTACGATAGCACGCGTGAGTAATTATTATTGTAATTATTTTCACAATACAGACTAAGTTTCAACGGTTCGAGTGAAATGTCTGTTTCGATTTTGCTCTGTTGGTCGCAACGGTTCAGGTAATTTTTCATGACGATCTTTTCGTTTCGTGTTTCCAGTGTTGGAATTTTCAGATATTCGCGGAGGGAAATTTTTATTGAGGTGAAATTCATCTCTATAACTCATGAAATTTTCCACAACTTTTTATTTCTCAATTAAATTCCACATATTTTTCATAACGACACAATAACAATAATCATAATAAAAAAAATACAGAATAAATAATAAGATAGAGTCCAAGCATTTGTCCGTTGAAAAATGAACCGATAACTGAATTGCGGAAAAAATTACTCAATTACCAAATCTTGTAGGTTGTAATTTTTTTTAAATCCTCACAGTTCCAGAGTTATAGTAAAATCTATTAAATTTCAATGATTGTTGGTAAAATTAATCTCTCCAGCGAAATGTTTTGTGCACTGAAATATCCAGTGCAAATATTTCGGGCGAAAGCGGAGAAGAAACTACTTTTCATAATTATATCTTAGCGGCTGTTTAAAATTATAATTCAACTCGTCACGATAATTTCGCTGGATTTATTATTCTCATTATTTTTTCCCAGATTGTATCGCTCAAACCGGAACTCTTGAGGGGCTTCTGCACAGTTCAGAATATAGCAATATGGCTGCCACTGATGAAGGATACACTACTTCCGGTGTTTTTGGCAATGTTCGACAAAATGTTCTGCAGATATGTCGCCAAGGTCTATACGAAGCAAGATCGCTCTCGAAAGCTGGCGCATTGTGAGTGCATGGAGATAAATATTCTCATAATACCACAAGAGCTTTAAAATTACCTATTATTTCCCTGAAGGTTCCCTGCAAACAAATAAAGCCCTCAAGTTTTTCAGGAAAAAGAATCTCAAAAGCTTGACTCTTTTAAACGTTGCGGGAAATGCCAGTTAATTTTAAATCTCGTGTTCTATTTGAGGGGTTATTTTTCTGGCCTAAATGTCGGCCAATAGAATTGAACCATGAGTCGAAACAGAAATGAACTCATTCAAGAAATAAGAATTTTATATGTGTCAGTTTGTCGTGGGGTTAGTTTGACTGGATCATGTTTTATTTATTTATTTATTTATTTCTAACCTCGCGTCGCTTGGATAAAAACGCATTTTCGGCCACAATGACATAAAATGGCATCATAGCCACGACGAAAAAAGTGATTCTGACTCATGCGCGTTATAATCCTCGCTTTCGGCTCGAACTATAAAGCCGATTCACTTTTTCCGTCCTAGGTGTGAAAAATACTATTATTTATAGCCACTATACCAGAGATTATCAAAAAACGATCAGTATAATAGCATGTATGCTGCAATATGTGGCGGCGAATGGAGCAATTCTATTGGCTGAAATTTGGACGGAAAATAATCCCGATTATGTGTGTATTACGAATTATTTATTTGTTTGATTGAAGGTGGACTTGATGGAAAGTTCAGGCACTTCGAGCAAGATGCGGAGTACAAACTTCAATTAAATCTCAATCACGGATTAAAGTTTCCACTGACTAATGGTAGCCTCTACGGACGACTGCACAGTCATCAAAATCGAAGTGAGTTTAAGTAACAAATCATAATTAACTATTATTATATTCAACAATTGAATAACAAATTCACAAATTTATCGGGTTAACATAACATTAAAATCAGGACTTTTTCCACCGGAATAAGAAATTCTTCGTTTATCAATCAGTTTAAATTCATTCTTAGTTTCATCTTGTCAACAAAACTGGAATTAGAACAGAAATACTAATTAAGGTTCGAATAGAGAAATCGGATACGAAAAATTTTTATGAGAGAAATTTCAAATGAGTGATTGAAGAGATGAAAAACTATGAGAATTGAAGGATTAAGTCGTAATTTTCGGTTTATTCGTTAAAGTAGTGAATTTATCAATCGATTTCTGTATAAAATGTTTAACAATTCTAAAAATTAAATTTTATTGCTTGAACTCACTGTATTAGTTATTGACGGTCATTATAAAATAAAAAATCATCCATGAATGCCATCCTAAATATATTGTTATAGATTCTATTTATCGAATCCATATTTTTTTGAGTGCGCGCCAAATGCTAGATACTATATTATATATAATATAATATATAATAGAAGCTATATTATATATTATATTATATATAATATATAATTATTATAAATTATTTTCTGGGGATCGATGTGGAAGAAATTAGCCAAGCGATTAAACCTCAACTATAATTTTCCTCATTAATTTTGCAGCGCGAACGGGAACAATAACAATGGGTATCCAGCATTATCCCCGGGCTCAATCTCTGAACGAAGACAATGCCTACGGCTCTCTTCCGGCTGAATTAACATCTTTCACTTCATCAACCTTCGAGCCCCGTCACTCCAAAGAATCAAAATCAATCGTGTCAGATCAGCACTCGGCACAGCGTCTCCTGCGGCTGAACGAGAGCTTGGATTTCACAAATCGCCGTAAAATCGGCAGCACTGATGTTTTTGGCCAGAACATGGAGAATTTGGTGCAGCTGGAGGAGCCGAAGCGAAAGTTCGCCAAGAGTCTGGATGAAATTCGAGAGGAGGGGCCCAGAAAGCAAATGAGGAGCACCTCCAGGCTGGAGGATATAGGGAGGGAGCGAGTTAAGGCATCAGCCATCATCAGGAAGGAGGAGGAGGAGTTTACGAGGAACTTGGTCAGGAGAAATCAGAGCTTCGATTATTCCAAGTACACCAGGGCTGGACTGGACTCCAGGACCTACGATGCCAAGGATCTTTTCAAGAAGGACAGGAGTTTTGAGGGCAAGAGGGAGGAATTTCGAGATCAGGAGGCTGGGTATGAGTCCTCTGATGATGAGAGCTGTGATTTTGGCAGTGGAGATTTTGATACCATGAGTTCCTGCAAGAGCAGGAGTAGAAGCTGCTGCTCCGTTACAACTGTTGCCAATGATGACTTCGAGTTTTTCCAAAGGAAGGGGATGAAGGTGATTTTTTTCACAAATTTTTAATCCTTGGGTGGAAATGATGTCAGAACGGGGATAAAAATCGCTAGACGAAATTCATCAAGATCTTAACAAATAACTCAAAGTAGATATTTACTTCCCAGATTTTTATCTCCTTTATTCTCTTTTGACAACCGAGTTATAATATAGGTAATAGATTAACCAAAAGCTAATAGGAAATGCAATAGAAATAAAATCGAATTTGAAAAATGACGATTTACTTGCACTCTAACATTGGTTTTAACATTGAATTCTAATTTGTTCTAATTTAGGCAGACGACCTTCTTCCCACAAAGAAAATCCTTGACACGAAAATCAACATGAGGACTTTCACTCCAAAAATCATCGATAAGACTTGGACTAACGAAACTGGATCGCAAATGCGAGAGACTCTAAAAGAACCATCGACAAAACCCATTATTCAATCGTATCACCTGAAGAAAATCAGTCCCGGGTACTCAATGAATGATTTAGACAAGCTATACCCCGACACGAAACATCCAAATGTTTCTATGGCAAGTCTCAAAAGTGCATTAATAAAATCCGATGTCAGTTATCTTGACAATGGAGAAATCTGCAGACACAACATCGGCGGTTCAGCTCCGGACTTCAAGAGAATTTTCGTCACTGATTTCATCTGATGATGCTCTCTATTGTTAATTATTGAACCGGAAGTTCTCAGTGAATTGCTGTAATATACTCATTAGTTAGAAAATAATGTTATTAACCAATCTGTATATAATCGTTGTATATTTGTATCTTAAAATTTGAATATAAATGTTATTACTTTGAAACGTATTGAGATGGGTAAACATTCATTTGATGAACGTTGTGAAATGAGAGTTAAGGCCCGGATGGACTGTCTGGAAAAGATAATTTACTCCAAATTTGGGACTTCTAATTACTCTGTCAATTAATCGTTTCTTCCGATAATTGTTAGCTAGCGGCCTAGTTGTTGACAACCACTCGAACGCTAGCTAACAATTATTGAAAAAAACGATTAATTGCCAAAGTAATTAGGAATCCGAATTTCGGAGTAAATTATCTTTTCTAGATAATCCACCCGAGCCTTAAAATAAACTGAAGGACGCGCTTCTAAAAGTTCATCCTTTATGAAATAGTATTTTTCACGCCTAGGACGGAAAAAGTGAATCTGACGAATGCGGCTTTAGAGTCCGGGCCGAAGGCCATGGCAATAATGCTATTTTATGTAATTGTCGCCGAAAACGCGTTTTCATCCGAGCGAAGGGAGGTTAGAAAAGCGTTTTACCCGCCGCGATGACATAATAGTATATTTCTCACGTGGGGAGGAAAAACAGATTAGTCTTCCCCACGTGCAAAATTGCTACCCGAGCCGAAGGCGAGGGTGGTAAGCACGTGGGGAATGCTTGTCTGTGTTTCCTCCCGAGGGTTGAATACGATTTTTCTGCCGAAATGCGGCGAAAGTGTCGTTTCTAACCGAGCGAGGTTAAAAACGCGTTTTCGGCACAATTCCATAAAATAGCATCATAGCCACGGCGAAAAAAGTGATTCTGACTCATGCGCGTTATAATCCTCGTCTCCGACTCTGACTATAAAGTCGCATTCGTCAGATTCCCTTTTTCCGTCCTAGGCGTGAAATATACTATTTTTAAGGACCGCATGGACTATCTATCGAACGTCATCTTTTATTTAAATTTTATCTGGTTAGCCTAAAATATATCAAAATTTGAGATAAAATTTGTGTAGCAGGTACCACTCGAATGGTTATAAAGAGTTACTGAAAACAAGCAGGTGATAGCAATTAGTCGACTGCAGATGAGTTATTGAAATGTATCGGCATATTTTCTTTGCCATTGATAAATTAATGGCGAGCTTCCGGATAATTTTTACAAATTTTTTTTCCTATTCATCCATATCTGTTAAGAATGTATATAGATCCAAATGGGAAATCAATGACAACGTCTAATTATTTTATTGAAGAATTTCTATTTGTTTATCTCTGTTATTTTTCCTGTGAATAATGATTTAAATTGAAAAATTACCACTCAAAAATTTAAATATCTTAAAAAATTTTTATGGACGAGTATATATATTTCTAGATAAATCGTGGACTTATACAGTGCAATAGGGTCATAGCTATCATCATTAAAATCATTGCCTCCTATATCTTATCTTCTGTTGGTAACTACTTAACTGACACAGTACGTTATCTTTCCGAAAATATTTCTAAGCATCAACGACAGATGACGTTCCATTGGCTTCCGAATGATTTGGTTCTGACCGAATTGGTTCTGACCGAAGAAAGATTACCTCGGTATGTGCCCCGATTAGATATACCTTGCAAATATCCATTCATTCGTTCATCTTTATTCGTGTAATCTAGATAAATCGTGGGCTTTTACAGTCTAATGAACCGTTAGAGTTCAAATCCTATGAACGTTGAATTATTCAAGCATGAGCTGAGCCGAATCCGTAATTATCACGCGAAATGAAATGACTCTTGACCCATCGAAATGATCCTTCCTTTGATCACTACTCGTGCGATTAATTCGTGCGTTGAAATCAGGGATTCATCTGTCGAAATAATTCAATAATATCTGCTAGCAGTTTTCCTCTACAATTTGAGGTAAATTTTCATGCCCCAGGAAGTTTCTTGCAAATTACACCTCCTACAGAAAAATTGATGATATATTAACTGTACGGTGAGAAAATCTTTATAAAAATCTTAATGCAGTCAGAGAACAAATTTCTTAAGGTTGTCGTCGCGCGACAGTCTCTGTAAAAAGTTTATCCGCTGTAAAACGGGCCAGTTTAGAACACAATCTTTTAGCGGTATATAGTCTCACTTGATTGATTGCATTGTGCATGGATAGCTAAAGCATAACTATATATTTTCCATATTAACTATTTTCAATTATATAAATTTATGAATTTCCGATAATTATATTCCGTAAACCAAACGGTCAATCGATTTGATTTTTTTTTCTGTATTTCCTCCCACGATGTATATTCCACGTTTTTTTTTATTTCTGAAACTGTCGAGCCGTTGATTTTTAAAAAATTCTAATCGGCAAAACTCCATTTAAACACCTGTTAAATCACTCGAATTTCAAAAATTTATATCTCAAGTTCAAAACGGTCAATTGCAAACGGAAAAGGCTCATTTTGTTGCTAATTTTTCAAACTATTCACCATAAAATTTTTAACGAAAACTGTCGAAAAAAAATTCTACGCGACAACAACCTTAATGCTGGAAAAACATTTCTTTTTTTTTCAACAATATCTTAACATCGGAGGGGCCATCTTGATTCTCAACACAGCAGTTTATTAATTGCACAATTAAAACGTGCTCTATCTACATCAATTGTGGATACCTTTTAAAAAACATTAAAAATACTCAGTTATTAAACTACGAGTTCTTGAAAATTATGGGATATCTGCCGAAAGTTAGGTTGCTTAGGAACATGTGTATTCAGGTTGGCAATCAGAGATTTTGTGCCAAAATCCATGCAGATGCATGATAATTTGAGGGAAATGTCCGATTAATTTTCAAGCACGAGAGGTATTCACTGGATTATACCCCAAAATCAAATCTCAATCAACGAGAGTTGGGATTTGACATCTGTCAATCGTCTTTTGTCTCACTCATTACGACAAATGCCACGGTTTTTTATGTTTTTTTAATTCCTCCATGTTAAAATTCTGAGAAATTAGTATATTATGTAATGTGTGATGGTTTTTTTGGCACGTGAGAGCCTGCAGCTCGGGTTACAATCCCACGACTCAAAAAATTGATAACGCACGTGTTTCATATACTATTTTATGTCATTTCGCGAACAAGGTTTATTTATTACTACTAGCACCAGCCGTGGTAATTCCAAAAATTATCGTTGTGATACCCACTACATAATGTGAAATTTCATACTCCTATTGGTTGAGCTTCAAAAATATCTGGCATTGACTTCAAGGTTACCTGCAACCAAATAAAGCCATCAAGTTCTTCAGGAAAAACGCGCACGTGATTTTTTATGCTGAATTACGTGACTTCTTCATCTTTCCGCAACGAACGTTAAAAGTGATAATTTATACTAATGGCGCATGAAAAATTATTCAATTCGATAAAACAACTATTTTTGTATGAATTATTTTACATCTAGAATATATACATACGCATACCAAATATTCAATATACACATATCGATAAAAAATTTAGAAAATATTAAATTTAATAATCAGTTTGATTTTTTATGGTCTAATGTAGCTCTACACCTAGGCTAGGTGAAAAAGAAAGGCTTTTTCATTTTTCTGGAAAATTTACTATGGGATTGGCATGAACAATTCAGTGAGTCGCCAAATTTCAAGGTTGTGCGAACATTTTTCTGCTTTTTTTATAAACTTTTAAGGAGAATGACAAAACTGTAGAGGAAATGCATGAAGATGATGGAACTACCACGAAATTTCGAGAGCCATTAGATAATGACAAAGCGGGAAGACGTTATATTTTTTCTCATCAATCCCATCGGTAATTTACCAAAAAATTAAAACAACATCAATTATGACTACATATGGATGTGAAACATCTGTAACAAAAAACGTTTCATTGTCTTTTTTTTTAACAAGAAAAATTAATGATTGAATTATTAGTTGAAAAGGGTTGAAGAGATCTATAATTCGGAAATTGAGGGGATGAAGAAAAAGTTGGAAAGAAGGAAACAGCCTAGAATTAGAATGCAAAAATGACCGTAAAATCGAAAGTCCCTAGTGACACACATTTAGAAAATTCAGGGTCACTGGGTCTTTGGGTTCACCACCTCGTGGGCTGACCCTTATGTTCACTTATTTTTGGGCCCATTCTGAGTTCTGGTCACTGGACCAACTGCAGTGCAATTGGCTCGTGGCTTCTTCGGGTATCTTTCTGAAAGAGTAGTCCTCAAGAGTTAAAATTTTTCTCGGGTGGTAGTTGAAAATTTTGCTACTGTATCTGAGGAATTTATGGGCCTTGAGGAATTTTCTGACGGTAAAAAAACTGAATATTGTAAATATCAGCGGAGATGTTCAGTTTCAGCGGGATGAAGTGGTATAATGCACAGGAAGTGCTTTAAAAAATTTATCCGAGGAGAGGGTGAAGAATTAATGGAGTGCCATATGGCAAGATGATTTGGATGATTGACGATAGATTTCACGGTCCATCTGACACCCGTATTATCAAACCTATGGGTTTTGTACAGAATCGAGTCAGTGAAAAATTAATTGCTGTCGAATTATGGATTATTACCGGAGAGCATCAAGGTGACAACTAATTCTCCAAATAAATGCTGGAGAGCAATAATTCATTGGAATCATCGCATCGACTGTATCGAATGTTGAGAGGAAAAAAATACGATTTTTGAAAATAATTGAAATAATTTCCAGGGAGAAATTTCCTTTTGGTGATTTGGTTCAGCGAATTTCTCACCTGAAAATTTATTCTTCGGAAGTTATTCGGGAGAAGTACGGAGAACTATTAAATTTGAGTAGAGCCACGCGCCTCCTGTCAACGATCCATCCAAACATTTTGGAAACAGGGAGTTTAGTGAAAATTTGTCGATTTTCTGAAAATGGACCGCCGGCTGTGGGTCCGAACGCCGAGGGACATGTTTTTGAAGGCGTGGATCTGTCCTCATGTATTTCGTGAACTTCCCTGGTAGTTCTACCCCACGGGAGATTTTTCATTTTCCGGATCAACAGGAGACGAGAAAGTCGCGCCTCCTGTCCCAGTAGCCGAATTTCACCCCTAAGGCCCCCCGGGGCTCATTTTCACGTGAATTATTGACTCACTTACTGACTTTTCCTCATAGCTTTCTCGGAAACACTTGAATTTTCAATTTGCAATTAAATTCGCGTTAGAAACATCAATACATAATTTACATTAAAATTGGCGATAAAATTTCAATCGAATCGCAAAATAATTCATCTCATCATTTTCGGCTTCAAAATACATTTGATTTCATTATTGGTTACATCAACTGTTCATTAATATTAATTAAATACTTGTAAACTATAGGGAAATAATTTATTTACATTATTCATATAATAATATTAAAAAATCATCCATTGTTATGAAAATTTGAATTTTTATTCCGCTTCCTCGAACTTGTTTTTATTATATTTATATCAAAATGATTATTTCATTATTATATTAAAATTTCGTCAATTCGTATCATTGAATGTATTAATCAATACAATAAACTTGTATTTGTTTCATTCGTGTTTTTTAAAGTTTAAAAACGACCGTATGCATACCGAAAACACTATCCGTTAAATATGACATTTTAAACCTAATTTATGATATTTCTGATCTTGGCAATTATGACTCAAAATACGTAAAGAACGATTTCTGATTTTGTAAATTACAATTTTTATGTTGTAAATTACCCATGTCGTGGATTATTTTTATTACCAATTTTGCCCTTAACAATTATAAGTTTTATATTGTTAAATGCGAGGTCCGATCTCGTAATTTATCATCTTTTCCTCGTCATTTACGAAATCTCAATCGCGTAAAATCCCAGTGATATTTTTTCAAAATTTTCCAAAAGGAATTTAAAAATCCACAGAATCTGGAAATTTGAAAAAATCGTGAAAATTTGGGGAACTTCGCGAAAACCGTAGAAGATAACCAATTATTCCTGCCAAAATTCCCCATCTTCCATACTTCGAATTTCCAGATTATTAGAATCTTTCAAATTATTTTTGGAAAATGTGGAAAAAATGTCAGTGAAAGTGATATTCAGATCATTCAAAACATCCTCAAACTTAAACATTTTATGTCGCACGCAAAACTTTTTCTTTCATATCCACCGGTCCTTCTCTTTCTCGTAAACAAAGAGAGGGAGAACGTAAATTACAAGATTGAATCTCATATCTTACGATGTAAAACTCGTAATTGTCAAGGGCGAAATTGGTAATTCACGGGTAACCGTACTTTATAAGATTGATCCCGTAATTTACGCGACCAGAAACCTCATAAATTACATATAAAATGATAAACTCTACGGATAGTGTTTTCTGTATGTGTATATTCAAATATTGCCGCAAGTGTTTAGACTAGATAGAACTGATAAAAAGTAATGAACATTCGGGATATAATTTGATAAATTTTATGAAAGAATCCAGAAGTTTTTCATACTAGCCCGTCGAGTTACCTCTTAACGGTGGAGTCATTCTTGGACGAAAGTTATTAAAGAAACAAAATTGGGGAGACATCAAATGTGCAGAAACAAAATCTGATTTTATCCAACTGAATTGGGAAATAATTAATTCACGATCACCTAGTAATTTGACATGCAGATATATTTGATTGTTGGATTACTGTGCTTTCTTCCAAGGTGAGAGATGCATTGACAGGTACTTCTTGATTTTAATAGTCTATTCCCTCATTTTTTATTCATTTCAACATGTGATATCTCTTATCAAATAAGTAGCAGCTGTTGTCAATGGAAATGTATTTAAATAGACCTGACAAATCAGCCAGATGTACCGAAATATTTTATTTCTCAATAAAAAAAGGGAGTGTCTAAACTTCACGTTTTGAGAATTTAACGATGAAACTAAATGAAATGACATTGTTGCAGACTCGTGAAAAATGAAAACGCTAATCTCAAAATTCCTGATGAATTCAGCATCGGCGCAGCCACTTCCGCTTTTCAAGTCGAAGGAGGCTGGACTGGAACTGACAGGGGAATGAGCAATTTGGATAACATGACACTGGCAAATAGCATTGGATATGATGCGCGAATAGCGAGCGATTCTTATCACAAGTGGAAAGAAGATGTTCAGTTGATGAAGACTATCGGAGTAATGATCCTCCCGCATATGATTCGAACAATTGAAATGAATGACTCCACTAATTAAAATTATTTACTCATTTTTTAGTTGCATTATTATCGATTTTCGTTGAGTTGGTCTAGAATTTTACCGACTGGATTGTCGAAACGCATCAGTCAGGATGGAGTGACGTATTACAACAACCTGATTGAGGAGTTAATGTCCAAGGGAATCGAGCCTTATGTCACGATTTATCATTGGGATCATCCAGCAGTCTTCGAATCATTCGGAGGATGGCTTAATGAAACGATGGTGGATTACTTTGTTGATTATGCACAAGTTGCCTTCCGAGAATTCGGATCTAGAGTCAAATTCTGGAGTACTGTCAATGAGCCCAATGAATATTGTAAAATGATCTATTCTAGTAAGAACTGAATCCAATAGTTAAGCGGTAAAACAGTGCAATTTAAAAAGATTAAATCCAATAGGCGAGTCAAAAAACTGATTGTCACTCCTTTGTTATGAATTTGTACAAATTAATTAATTTGATTGATATATTTGATTATCGGGGGGTTGTTTATACCAATATTTCTACCTTCTGGAGTTTTTCAGTTCTCAAAATTATCTGGCTAGATGAAAAATGTTCTTGACGTGTGATAATTAAATTAAATTATCTCCTTTGATGTTTTTAGTTGCGACAGCTGTGTCGATTTAGCTTCTTTTTCAAATTATTATTGTTTTCGTTTCTGTTGACATATAGGTGGATAAACTCATTTCTATCAAAAATCAACATCAACCGTTTCGATTTGCTTTCATGTATTGTCAAATTAACGGATCAATGCTGATTATATTTCATTTCTCTTCAGAACCTCGGGATGTATGCCTCTGTGTCCATAACATGCTGAAAGCTCATGCCAGAGTTTATCACCTGTACAAGCATGATTTCTACTCAACGCAGAGAGGAAAAATAGGAATAGTCTTTGTAACTCATTACTATTACTCCTCCGTAAAGAATGATGCTTTATCACCGAGGTTAATGTATGAGTATGACGGAGGTTGGATTGCTAATCCTATATTCTCCAAGGATGGAGATTATCCAGCCATGATGAAGAAGGCGGAAGAAGAACGGATGGAATGGGAGAAATTATCATCACCACGACTGCCGGAATTTTCTCAGTATTGGATCGATCTCTTGAGGTGATTGATTGTGATTAAGAAATATTCTAAGGGCTTCCACTAAAAATCAGAATGATTTTATGATACGAAAACGATTGACGAAATCGATAAAAGTGGAGGAAAGAAAATATGACTTTTAATAAAGCCGATTATCTAGTCTTAATTCTTCATTATATCTATATTAAAATAATCAATCCACTATTTCAGAGGCTCATGGGATTATTTAGGACTCAATCATTACTCGTCGTATCTTGTGTCTAAAAATAGCAACGATCATAGTTATTACGAGGAGAAAAATCCTGATTGGCCTGTAGCTTCCAATCAATGGCAGAACGTTATTATAATTATATTTGGCTTTAACAAATGATCATTACTGTTAAATTAAAATTAATGGATGATTTATTTGTCCAGGTGGTTCCACAGGGCTTCGGAGATTTACTGAGATTTATCAAAGAAACCTACGATAATCCACCAGTTTATGTACTAGAAAATGGCGTTTCGTCATTTACAGGTCTTAATGACATGGAGAGAATACGATATTTACACGATTACATGAAGGAAATGCTTCTGGCTATACATCGAGATGGCTGTAATGTCAAAGGGTACACAATATGGAGTCTCCTGGATAATTTCGAATGGGGTGTCGGGTACAGGTAGGTCAATAAATAAATTACAAAACATGCGGGAAAAATTTTCATGTGATTGAATCGGATAAGTTTTATTTTCCCTTTTAAAAAAAAAGCATGTAACGTTTTTTGTCAGCTTTTTTTGGCGCTATGCATATCAAAATATATCTATATAATATGATATATCTATATATAATATATGTATATATAAATAATATATATAATATGTAATATATATAATAATATATATGTACATATATATTATATTATACTAAATTTATATAATATAATATATAAATTTAATATAATTTATTTAAAAAAATTAGATCAAATTATTGAATTTAATATCACTCACTCGTCGTGTCAATAGCGCCAGCAGGGGGAAGGGGGGCTTAAGGAATTTCAGGGACAACAGAGTTTACCTCAGAATTATTTTTTGATGTATGTTGATGTCTTGTTGTTTCTCACTCTTTTCTTTCATCTTTTTAATGAGAACTGAGAAGATAAGAATGGATTTTTCGTCAGAGAAATTAATATTTCAATGATTATTGTTTTTGGTGGACCTAAACCAGATATTTACCATCTTTTTTTTATTGAAAAATAAAAAGTGAAAAGACACAAAATTAGTTTTATCTTGTTGTTTCTATTGAGATTCGTTTTATCTCGTTACGATTTTGAATTAAATTTATTAAATTTTTAGACTTTTTTCTTTTTTCTTTTTGAAATTCAATATGAGATATTTTTATTAGACTCATTGAATGTATAATTCAAAATAGTCCTAACATTTATGTATTTTTTGAAAGTTTATTCAATAGGCTTTGAAATGAGGATATAGGATATTATTAAAATGTGGAAGGAAGAGAGGAATTAGTGGAAAAATTGAAGCTAACAGGAGCCTTACGAACGTGGATTATTTAATTACGGAAATTTTCCCCCCAAAAATTACAATTCTTCTCATTACTAAAAATTATCATTCTTTTGACAATTTTTGATTGGCATTGTGCAATAAATGAATTGAATTTTTTTAATGTAATCTTTTCAGCCATCGTTACGGATTGGTCGAAGTAGATTTCAATCATGAGAATCGCACGAGGACTCCCCGGCTGTCATCACAATGGCTTCAGAAAGTTATTGCTAAAAGGGAATTAATTAGTCCAGAGGATTTCAAACCGTTCAGCCTAGCGAAATTAGAATTAGAACACGAATGAAAAAGATCGGTTAATGTTAAATTAAAAATTCTGTCAAGTGTTTTGGCAATTCAAGATCATCATGCCCGATGGTTATTCCAACATTCATAAACTTGAAGACTTCATCAATTTTTATTTGTGTTTTGCACAAATGAACATTTTTACAGGATCTTTGATAAAATGAAAATAAAATGTTGGTACTGTGACTCGACTGATGGAGAATCGTTCTTATCTCAAATTGGTGAAATTTTGGGATATTTTTTATTGCCCACCCTGCCACATTCATAAATCATAATTCAGCATCTCATACCGGTGAAAAACGAAGGTAAAATTGAGCTACCGTTTGGTCAGTTTTGGGGCTCCTGGCATTTTCCTCAAAAACCAAACTTTATACTTTCGAAATATAGAATTTACGATTTTGTGGGCTTTCAGGTCATTCTCGTTGACCAGTGCCCCTGTGACCCACTATCCAGTCAAGGACGTATGGCAATTTTTCCCAGTGTTATTCTTGGGAAAAGGAAGAATTCCTTTTGTATAGGTCAACCTTGGCGTCGAAATTTCACTTGCCAATGTGGGTTACCGGGGCCATTTCGTTTTTGGCTACTGAATCCTGTTATTTACTGCTAGTCTTGATGGAAACTCCCCTCCAAGTCAGTTTTTCACAGAGAAATGCACATCTCGTGGCGCCACTCTGAGTTGAAAATAATTTAATAGTCAACTGGTAAAGGATAACGAGTCCACTGGTTTCGCCTATTGATTTTACGAGTAACATCTTTTTTTTTATTAATACAGTAAACAGAAAAGGATACAGAAATAATAATAAGTACATTTAGGTGCACTGCATGTTGATGCTGTCCGTTTTTCTGTGGTATAGGTTTATGAAACTTAAATTCCTATTGATCATCCCATAAGTTCAAATTCGTAAGTTACTTTCGTCCAAAAAGTCCGTGAGTATTCCGACACAGTTTTTATCTATAAATCCTTCAAGAATTTGTAACTGTAGAGTAAAGGGGAGAAATAATATCTTTAAAACTAAGAAAAACAGTGAATTTTCCTTGGAGCACCTTTTGTAATATGTAATGAGAGCTGCACAATAGTGATGATCAAAATTTCATTATTTTCCATAAATTCAGAGATATTTCTCGATAGCTTGCGTATTAACTGAATCGAATTATAATTTTATACTTCATTCCAAAATAAAAAATTGAAAGATCTGAAATTTTTGAATCCCGCCATAAATGGCTGAAAAAATTTGTTCCTTTTATCAAAACCGAGAGACGAAAGTTGAAGATGATCTGAGGTGGATGAATAATTCTAATCAATGTTCAAATATGCAAGGCGGTCAACAGCTGTATGGGCGCCGCCATTGAGATCCCCCCCTCCCTTCAGTCCACAAGAGATTCTAAAATGGCAGCAGCTCCATCTTAAGTTATTCATTTATTTTTTATTTTTCAATTATTTATTATCGTTAGATTCGAATTAAGAAATTGTTGAAAATTTGTCGGTCATTCTCAGCCTTTTACAATTAATTTCTTATTTTTAATAGGTAGGTTTTAATTCTGTGTTTTCAAAAATATCTTAAATGAGATACTGGCATGATCCCAAAAAGGGAATATTACATTTTTTACAATAAAAATTCAGAACTTTCCCTCTGGAATTCTGCCTCAAACCCATCATAAATCATAATAAATGTCCGGAGGTCGTGCGAGGGCTATTCTCAAGACACACGAAGGTTCCTTGAATGTCAGGCAGGCATCATGCGAAAAAAAAAATTTTCTTCTACAATTTCTTATGGTCGAACGACGGCCACACGCCGGCCACCATAAAACTACCATAAAGTCATTGACTTGGAAAGATTTTTTTTGTTCAATTATTGCCCCTCAAAAATGCGTAAATCATTTTTGGGACTGATGGAAAGTGGAGGAGAGAGCAAGGGCTGATAAAAATACGTGTGGCAAAACGCGTGCTCGTGGTATATTCTCTTCAGAGTAGAAATCAAAGGACAGAGCAGGTAATTGAAAAAAAAACATTCACTTTTCATAATTTCTTTGACGCAGCACAAATTGCGGCAATAGTTTTTAAAGGGCTTTATTATTATTCAAAATCGTAACGAGATAAAACGAATCTCAATACACTGAGAAAAAAAATTATTTTTGCCAAGAATATTTTCTTCCTACTAGTAAATCTGGGGATCACTGTGTAAATACTCC